GTGGCCGGAGCAGTGTACGTATGTCGGTTCGTTTTTTTCCTGCTCGGTGTGCAGCGTTTTAAGGACAGGAGCAGGAGGGTCGCCGAACTCCTGGGGGATGTGGATTAAATGAGCCTGTGCTGCGGAAACTCTTAACGGCTCTGCTCTGCCTTTCGAACACGGGGAGGAAGGTGGTGCGTGCTGGTTTAGGTAGTTCGGAAGAGAGGTAGTTTAGCTCTGCCTGCTTTAGTGTCCTGGGTTTTAGTTTGCTTTAACAGAAATGTGCTCACTGGTAGGTATTTAAAAAAAAAAAAAAAAAAAAAAAAAAAAAAACCCAAAGCAAACCAACAGCATACTTCAGACTGAATAAGAGGTTAATGAAAAACATCGTGCATGGGGTCAGCAAACAGGACTCATCTGGGTGATTTCTGTTCTGGACTCTGCTGTGTTTTGGGGAGCTCCATTTAATTCAGCGTGCATCCGTCCTCTTCACGTGTTGTCATCTGAAAGGAAAAACAACCACCAAATGCGCTGTTTTTGCATGCATGTGCCTTTGCAACCTGCTGGAGTTATGCATGGTGTTGTCACAGAGCCCAAGACGCCCGGTCTGTGTCCAGAACCCTGCTATTCATAAGACACGGCAGAGCAGGAGGAGGAGGAAGAGGGATGCAGCACCAGGCTGTTGTTTGCCTTTTGCATAAAGTACCGAGACAGGTTGTATATTGTTTAAGATGTTGCATCAGAGGCGGGGTGTGGGGGGAAGAAGTACAGAAGCTGAAGTCTTCCTAATCCTTCTTTTCCTAGGGGCTGTGGATCTGTGCAGCACTTCCATTCAATGTGAATGCAGTGTCCCCTGTGGGATGCAGTAGGTGATGCCCAGCTCTACTGCAATGGCAATTGGAGCGCTCTCTAGTTCTCTTCTTGTTACCTGCTGCCTCATGGTCGCCCTCTGTAGCTCCATGATACCTGTACAAAAACTGGCCAAGGCTCAAGACAAACAGGAGATAAAGGTGAGCCAGGAAAAGAGGGATCACACATCTACAAGGGACAGGCAGACAAGCCCAGGGAAAATGAATGAGATCGGCAGGAGCGGGAGGGAGGAGGGTAGCAGGGACTGGAAGAGCAAAGGAAACAGGAGCTACTCCAGCAAGGAGTCTTGGACTAAGCAAAAGCAGGCTTGGAACAGCCAGGGAATGAGCAGTAAATCCAGGAGCATTGAAGTGCGAGAGCAAAGGGATGCTGATCTTGAGGAACCTCAAGTGGCCGAAGATTCATCTCTCCCAGAAGGTGTCACAGGTGTCACTCCGGAGCCTCCAGAGGAGTATGCCTATCCAGACTACCGTGGGAAAGGCTGTGTGGATGAGAGTGGCTTTGTCTACGCCATTGGGGAGAAGTTTGCACCGGGCCCCTCTGCCTGCCCCTGCCTCTGCACTGAAGAGGGCCCGCTGTGCATACAGCCTGAGTGCCCCAGGCTCCACCCTCGCTGTGTTCATGTGGACACCACCCAGTGCTGCCCGCAGTGCAAGGAGAGGAAGAACTACTGCGAGTTTCGAGGGAAAACCTACCAGACCTTAGAGGAGTTTATGGTAAGGGCTGAAGCTAAAAGTCATTATGTGATTCCTTCTCTTGTTTAAAGTAGTGTTATGTTCTTCAGGTGCTTTCTCAGAGGGTGCTCTGGGTCTCCACCTCCCCTTTTCATTTCTGTGTTAATACTACTTGTGCAGTGCCGTAAAATATTCCCCTTAAACATGACCTTTCTTGCTCTTACGATACAGTAGCATTTTTAAAAGAGGGTACTGATCTTTATTAATTCCTTTGGTATTTACAGTAGAAAATACTATATGGAAGGATGCTACTCAGTGGCAATGTCACTTTTCTGAAAAATTTTCAACAATAAATTTGTTTCCTTATTTAATTGTTAGCTGTGAAACTTCTGCCTTGCAAGGATTGAGCAGGGCTTTGTGGTCTGACTTCTATTCCTAGGAATAGTCATACCCTTTTTGTAACAGACGTTTCACTTTCCCTTTTTAACCATTTCAACTGTGCTGCTAAGGCTGCATAATTGCTTTCTGAGAACAACTATGGGCATTCTTTTTATTAAGAGCATAGTTTGCAGTGGGGATTACAGTGATAACTAAACAAAAAACTTGAAAACCTTTATGTTTAGGGAAATCCTTTTTAGACTAGGGCCTTTTTTGTGCATTATTGTGCAAGGTCATTATCATTGAAAATTAAACTTAAACTTAGTATAGTGCACTGGAAAGTTTTTGAGTTGGGGTCAATTTCCTGATTGCTTACCTTGCCTTTTTCCCTTCAGTATTTTGTTGCGGCTGAGATAGGGTGAGCAGGCTCTAAGAATTTGCTTGCTAGTGAGTGTTAGATACACGGCTGGTCCAAAATCCACTTCTGAACACATGAGAGATTTTTGAACTTAATGTGTTTAGGGAAGTACAAAATTTAGTTCAGGGTTCTGGCAGTATGAGCCCCTTTCAGGATGGAGGAAAAGAAAATGTGTTTCTGCAGGCTGTAAAAAAGTGGCCACCTCTGCTTTCTGTGGTATTTGCATGTTCTTGGAAACTTACTTCCACTCATAATGTCTTTCCATGTTCATCAACTTACTGAAAAAATAAAAAAATAAAGGACCAGAATTACTCTTTCCAGAATAAATCACAATGTTTTCCCTTGCTCTTTTTAGGCAGTAATGTACAGAGCACTTGTGGATTTGAAAGCATGATGGAAAGCATTGTATCATCCTCCCTCTTTCCATGTCACAAGGATTGCATTCAGGTTCAGGATGGCAGCTTTCTACTTTAAGAGGGAGAGGGTACTTTTAACAGTGCTAGTTGGTGTGACCTTTTCAGAGATGGATTGTGAGATCCTTCCTTTACAAACAAGTAAATTCTGAGGGGTGGCCAAAACAGTAATATTTCTGCACGTGCATTGTAGATCAAAGTTTTAAAGGCTTCTCCCAACTCTTAACTTGTGCTCTTCTAACAACTTGCATTTCTTTGTTTTTTTTTTTATATAGTGGTGTTGTATTAATGGCTGTGAAGCAAGCTTAAATTACCTTATTGTGTTAAGGTTGCAGTTGAGAGAACAAAAACGTAGGGCTTCCTGTTATATTTGAACATGGATGGCAGCCTTGGTAAAAAGGGATTGCTGAATGGTGATGTTCACAGAAATGTTCTGTAAAGACTTTCTTTTCGTTTTCTTAACCCAGTTCAGCCTTCAGCCCATGTGTTGGGGCTCACTGTAATGAAACACCGGTTCCCTTACTGCTTTGCACTAGCCAGCTTTGGAAGCATGAGGGAGAAGGGAAGTTGAAGGAAAGTTACTGATGCAGTTAGTCGGTGAAACTGCGCCTGTTCATTGTGATGTGTGAGGGCCTTGGTGTTTAGGTGAGGTTCAACACTGGTTTCAATATTGTGAGCACAAAACTGTAACTGGAACTGTTTGCCCGTGCCACTGCAATCAGGGGAGATGTCTGGCACGGTAAGGTACAGATGTAGTCAAGCTGCTGCTGCTGCTCAGTGGAAGCAACTGCAAATACAAATGATTGCACACGGTTTCAAAGGTCATTTTACAAGTTAAGTTGATGGTCTTAGAGAGGTAACTGATATGCTATCTCTTGATTAAGGTCAAAGAAGGAGTTATAAATGGAAAGTGATCTGTTTTTTTTTTTTCTCTGTCTGCACCTACTGTTAGTGGCAAAGAGCAAGTCATCAATGAAGGAGTAAGAATGTGACCTCCTAACTTTTAAATCCTTTTACCTGCACAAATATTTATGTATATTTGTATATTGTGTATATGTAAATACAAATATTTATGCTTTTTTTACAACATCTGCAACTCCATTTATACATAGGCTCATAAACTTCCCTTTAAACAATTCTAAAGAAGTTATTTTTTTGCCATCTCAACTCTTTCTACAAATTTTACAGCTGCCTGGTGAATATGTACAGCTTCTGTGCCTCTCATTGCCTTGCCACAGTTTTTGCATAGGCAGACCTAGTGCTGCTGTAGAGTTAGCTTCATCTGTAGACCACAGAGATGTGGTGTCATTTAGTCTTCAGAGCGAGGTTGATAGGTGGCATCACTTCCAGCCCAGCCTGGTTATGTCAGATGTGCTAAGCATGAGTGCTGCCAAGCTGGTTGTTTCCTAGATGATCAAGTGGGATGCTCTTTGGGTTGGCTGCCATGAGGAACCAAGCTGCAAGGAATATGCTTACATCGTAAGAGTAGAACACAGTAAATGAAGGACCAAATGTGGCTTTTCATTCTGATTTGTCTGGCTGTTGTTACATATCCACACTGTCTTATTGTTGCTCTCTAGTGATGATTATCTCTGAGTATTAAACTGCCATTATGATGCGAAAAGAAGTGGGGTTTTCTACAGTTCCTGTTACATCCTGATGAGATATAAAAAGCAGTGTCCTACTGTTTAATCCAAAGATGAATAGATAACGGTTGACACTAATATCATTTTAGCAGCCACTGTGGTTCACTTATGTGCCTGAAAAGAGCTTTGTAGAAATAAGAAGCTGGAGACCTTCCTTAACTCTGCTACCATTAGTCATATTGGTGGGTTGTACAGGTGACAGTACTTAGTAAAGGTGTGCTATGTGCATCTCCCTGAAATCCCATAATCTGTTTCACAGGAAAGGTATTCATGACTGCAGTATTGCATTAACAGTGTGCTGTGTTCATGAAAGATGTAGTCTTCGGCTGTATGTGCTATGTAGCACAGAAATGCATTAATCTGAATCATTGTTATAAGATAAAGCAAAAAAAACCAAACAATTTTGTTTCTCGTTCAGGAGAGTTTTCAGGGCTTCATTAAATGGCGGCTTCTAAGAATTTTAGGCTTCTGTCAAATTTGGAATCCTCGTAAGGAACCTACTTAATTAGGATATGTTTAAAATTCACAGATGAGAGATTTTAGGAATAACATCTGTGTCTTGTTTCCTGATTATCATCAGATACTCTAGTTTTTACATCGCTTGTAATATTGAATGGCACAGCTGCTAAGCACAGCTCCTGGTGTCCTGGGAGAGGGATTATCTATCTGTTGTTGTAGTTTCTGGTCTTGTTGAACTGTGATGATGGGCAAATTTGCATCTTTTTCAAGTCATGGCAAAAAAAATGTTAAAACCGATTGAAAGCTATAGGTGCCTTATTGAGCCTGATCCTTGGAACTGAGTTCTGGTAGCCTTGATTAGTACGATTCCTTAAAAATAATAACAATAATAAAATCAGTCCTCCTCAAAAATAACGTTTTCATAATTTATTAAATATTGTTTCTGAATATAACTCCAGAGTGAAGGATTCTTACTATTGATTTGCAGATAAATGGGAGCTCAAGTTTGCTGACTCTCAAAATTTTGTCTGTGGTTCAGCTGATTACCTGGAATACCTGAGTCTCTTGACTGATCAGTGGATCAGACCTCCTCATCTTCTGACACTCCAGCTCTGCAAGTGAATGTGGTAGCTTATGAGCAATTACAGGACAAAGTTCTTGTCCTCAAGCCTGCAATAAAAATCTGCAGTACTGGGCTGTCAACCTTCTTGTGGCATTTTGTGAGTGTATGGTGTTTTGTTGTCCTTTGTAGAGTATAAAGCAAAAGGAAAACTGGAAGTGAGTAGCTAGCAAAGGATGTCTGAAATACAGTAATAAAAGCAGAAAGCAATCCAGCAAGAGACCCTTTTTAGGCTTTCTAAGTAGAGGGGCAAGCATGAAAGATATGTGAGTGCATAAGCAAATAGCAGCCCTGGCAGGTGGGAAGAGAAGTGGCAAAGCATGGATGAGCATTTAGTTGGAGACGATGCTATGCAAGCATCAGCATGTTTGAACTTCAGAAGTGAGAAGGATGTGAAAAAGGCAAGCAAGCAGAGAATGAGTTGAATAAAAAATGTGATGGACTGCCTGAGAAACAGGGAGAAGAAACAGATGATGTGCAAGTCAGACATCTGGATGATTCTTCACAGAGAATATATTTTTTTTTTCTTTAGATTTGAAATTACTCTGCTTCTGTTGGAGAAATGCAGTGGGTGATTGTTTGCATCAACTGGAATCTGGAATGAAAAAGGGTCCATAAAACAAGGACCTCATCTTTAAGTAAATAGAGAATCTGCATAGATTTGGAATTTAGAAGATCACTAATAATAGCATCCAGCTGCATTTTCACCCTGCATGCTGAAAATGGATACCAGTGTGGTTTTTTGGAGTACAGCAGTGAGACTTAACAGTACACCATTTATTGCACTTTAGCACCCTTGTGTCCTGCTACCTCCAGCTTCTTGTGTGGTATGAGGATGTCAGTCCTGCAATGTCCAGCATCTGGTCAGGAATGTTGAAGTGGACAGGTGGAATTATTCATGTAGCATATGAAGACATTGGAAAATCCATTTTTTTTTTCCTGAATAGGGCCTTGATACTATTTTGTTTGGAATTAATTTTATTGAAGTAGGTCATTCAAGTAATTATCTCATGCTACTCCTATTCAGTAGAGTTCTTCAAAACCAGTAGCATTTCAGTAGGTAAAAAGGATGGCCTGTGTTCTGCTTTGCCCCTTTCTTTGAATTGCAATTTCTTTCCAGAAAGTTATAAATACAATTAACCTGTGGAAAATACCTGAATTCAAAGGAAATTTTTTTCATGACTTCTCTTTGAAAATGTTAGTTTTTCTTCTTCAAGTACAATATTTTTTGCTAAAATACTTATTCAACCTCTAATAAATTAAACCAGATTTCATCTAAATTATGGACTTAATTTACTGGAAGTTCATTAGAAATGTGGTAGGGAAATTTTTGCTTTATTTGTGTTAAAAGTCTGAAGTATTCTTGTTCCCAAGGTCCCTTGATTTTTCCATCTGGTGCACAGATTTAGAGCAGAACCTGTGGGGTTCTTCTGCTGTGTTTCTGTAATTTTGGAGGAGCCCAGCCTTGCTTTCTGCATTATTCAGGCCACAAGAAATCATTTGTTTTTAAAGTGGATAGGAAAAAGGTGAAGGAAAGAGCAGTGCGGATGACAAAGTAGCATTGAGCACTTCAGAGGGCTGAAAGAGTTAAAAAGTGACTAGATTTGTGTTTCAGGTTTCTCCCTGTGAGAAGTGTCGCTGTGAAGCCAACGGTGAAGTGCTCTGCACTGTCTCAGCTTGTCCCCAGACTGAGTGTGTGGATCCGGTGTATGAGCCTGACCAGTGCTGTCCTATCTGCAAAAACGGTGAGTAAGGGCCGTAGAACTGGAAGGGGGCTTCTGGCAGAGATCCATGGTGCTCTGTTCAGGTTTTGAAATATAATTACAATGTTTTCCTTTTTTCCCAGACGGAGGTGGAAAAGAGTTATGTGTGGTTGGTGTCTTCCTGGTATAAGGAGTTAGGTCTTCCCTTGACTGTGATGGACACGATTATGACTCACAGGGGGTTTTATTACCCAGGAGACAGTTAGGGTGTTGATAGCAGATATTCCTGTCGCTTCTGGATATATATGTTGCACAAACTCAGGTGGATATATTTTACATAGGGACGCAAAATGATCTCGGGCTCTCCATGTTATCCACCTTTCAGTGTGAGCAGGAAAAGTTACTTTTGTTCTCCCTTTTTATTAGTTCCCCTTTCAGAGATTCTTTGCTGCCTTTTTTTTTTTTCTTTCGTGAGGCAAATCAAATGTACCTTATTGAGTTCATTTAATTTTCATAACTAAATGAATTAAACTCCCAAGTTTAATTGAATATTTTTTGTAACTAAATTAGACAGAAAGGCTCTCTACTCCCAGCAAGGGCTTGCATTAGATCAAAGTCTTGGTCTATTTAGAGGAAAAAATTACATGGCACACTAGCTCATCACTTTACATAGAAGAAATGATAATTTATTAATAGAAATGAAAGCTCCAAAATCTCAAATGAAATTATATTTAAAATGAAAAAAGACATTTAGAAATATTCAGATCATTTGCAGACATATATTATTTCTCTAGAATAGGTAGGTTCTGTTACATTAGTTAGAACAAACTGATTAAAGTTGTTGAAAAGCTAGGGGAGGAGAGAGTATATGGTTTATGCTTCCTGCAAATTCAACAGTAGATGATAAGGGATAGTTAATTGCATTGGAGGAGTTTCATTTGTATGGGTATAAAAGTAATTGCTTCACATCCCTTAATTGGTTGTTACAACCCTGAAGGAATTTGTTCTCAGCTGTACAGTTTAAGGGCACACTGCTTTTGGTGATGAGAGGGGGCATTTTTTTGAGGCATTTAGGGACAGTTCCTGGGAAGGACTGAATCTGGGAGCTGATGGTGTGACAGCTAGCTGGTCCAGAGCATCCTTTAGCACTTTTTTTGATGGCAGGAGTCTTCCTGACGTGCTCACAGGCTTTCTGTGTGCACCAGACTCTGCTGCAGTTACCCAGATTGGAGTAACTCTTAGCAAGTAAAAGGTCTGTTTTTCATATGGGGGATGGAGTTTCAAGCACAGTGCTTTAAGCCTGTGTAATCTTTCCCACTGAATTTTTCCAGTGGTGTTAAACCTGTTTAGATCTGGATTGACTTTCCATCAGAGCATATTCTCCCAAAATCATCAACATAGTGAGCTGTGGTGGCCCTCTCCTAGCAGTGGATTGCCTTTGGATTACGGTGGCATGGCAGAGTGAGGCTTGCCTTGGTTGTTTGCATGGATCCCCTTACACATTTCCCAGAAACGGAGCCTTCTTAAAAAAACTGTATATTAAACAGGCCTTAGTTGTGAGGAGGCTGCCTTCTCTCAGTGCACTAAAGCTGAATTATCCAAGTTCTGCCTGCAGGAAAGGGTGGTCTTGTCCTCAGCATCAGAATCCCCAGTATTATTCGCATATTCTTGGGTATAACCACAAGCTGAGTGGCTTTCCTTGTTAGCTTTTAGATGAGGAAAAAAAAAAACATTAACAATAACAACAAAACCCAAGGTAGTTCAGTCGAAGCTCAGCTTTTCTGGTTCATCAGCTTTGGTGTATTGGCACAAAGGAATTTCTGACGAATCCTCTCTATCCTGGGAGTGCATTTTAAAAAAAAAAAAAAGGCTGTTTGCTTTCAGAGCTTATTTTAGAGCATGAGACACGTGCACGTGCAGTTTGCAAGGAACTGCAGTGAATTGCTGACTGTTTTTAATTAGATTGTAGCAAAAACCTACTGGGCAGGAAAACATAGCCTGCCTCATCCCCTCATTTTCAAGCGTACTGAAACAAATGTGCTGTGAATGCAAGTTGGGGGAACAATCATGATGCTGTGCTTGAGGGTTGGTCATTGCAGCGGCGTCATCAACGACATTGTGTTAGTGGCCCGAAGGAGACTGGGTGATGTGCAGGATGCTCAGCCACATGACCTGAGTTGTGGGAAAGGTGGAGCCATGGGAAGTGTAGAAGAGAGGTGACTGCTGTCATGATCTGCATCCTGCCCTTGGTAGAGCAAAAAGGGATGGGAGGTGAAATTTGTTTTTTCTACATTTACTAACATTTGTGTGTTAAAAATGCACACAATCCAACTCTGATTTCCCTCCTTTTCCTGGCACTTCATAACATATAATGCTTTCCCAACTTGCCTGGCCTGCAGATTACTGGCAGTGAACCAACACTAAGTGAGTGAGAGCTAAGTGACTACATCTGTCACTGGTAAGACCACATATAAATGCCTGATTAAGAAATCTGGAGGAGATGTAGTGAAAGCCTGCCATTATTAGAGATGAATGAATTCAGTGTCTTGGCAGGTGTGAGACAGTGCGCATTGTCCCTTGTGGGAAGGAGGAGGGGGTGTAGCTGACTTTCCCAACCTGATTCCACAGAAGTGCTGGCAGCCCTTCAGATGAGGGACAGATGGGTAGCTGCACATCAGGCTTACACAGCTGTGTGCATGTGTATGTACTGGGTTACCTTGAATGTAAAAAGTAGTGAGTGGAGAACCTGCAGAGTGATGGACAGTCATATGGGTAGGATTTAGTAATCTTCTATATCATATCCTGACTTTCAAGAAGCAGCCTAGATACTCATGTAGCTGAAGATGTTATTTTCTTTGTGGGCAGGGACAGGGAGTACTTTAAAAAAAGTACCTGCTCTGAGAAGTAGTCTCTCGAAGGGATAAAAGGTGACACTTCACTGAGAAAATCATGGGGGGAGGGGAATTTTCTTGCTTTTTGTATCTCAAAATACTACAGCTAAAAGGAGCTGGTTTGCATTTATCTTACATACATGCCTTGCAAGGAAGTGGTGTGGGGAGAAAGGGCAGTGGAGGAGAGCTTTTCTTCTTGTGAGGGCTGACATATTGAGCTTCATACTTGTGGTAACTAACAGCAGCAGCAAGGAGAAAAAACATCCAAAAACTTAGGTCTGGCTCTAGAGATTTGCATTAAGTTACAAGTGCCAAATTCAAGTCTCCTGCTTTACAGTACTAGTAATGGGGTTTCTTCTGTGGAAACCATCACTGTTCACAGGGATATCGGTAAGCTCAGAATCGGGTTCAGACATTTCTACAGTTCCTGTGGGGTGAAGAGTAAAGATAATAGGCATACAATTCCCTTTCCATTAGGAAAAGACTGGGTACTTGTCACCAATTCATTTGGGGCAGTAGAAGTGGGTGGGGGGTAATACTGAAAGTGAATTACCTTGCTAGGTTAAATTAACTTGGTTGTCTGTTCCACTTCTGTTTCCAGTGTTAGAGCCCCAGCAGGCATACACAGCTGAGTACTGCTTTGCCTGAAGTGAGCAGTCAATGGAGTTAAGGGTGGCCCTGCTGCTGCTGCTGTCTTTGCAGGAGGATGGGATTAAACCTGCAGCCCACATGGAGCCTGGAAGGGGAGGCAGGACTGCTAGACCAAAAACCATTTTGTTCTAAGGTCTCCAGGAGGTTTTTATTTTCATTATATGGCTGAAAGATTGCCCCAGATAAGATGTAACTGATCCTGGTGCCTCCCTAGTGTTTCTCTGTCTGTGTGTCAGTGTTGTTTCTCTGTCTGCAGTAAAAAGACCTGACCTTCTATTGGCAAAGGCTCATAGCTGTGCAGTCAAAAATATAAATGCTGGTGCCTGGGGGTTGTATGTGTTCTCAGGACTGTAACACTCAGAGGAGGTGCCTTGTCTGTTCTCACTGGCTGTGCAACAGGGAGACTTCACTCTGGATGCAATCACCTCAGGTGTCTCAGGTGGAATGAGTCAGGACTTTGCTAATATTTGGGTTCATAGTTATGGTTGAAATACAGGTGTCATATGGTTGAAATGTTTGCCACTAGTAAGGTCCTGGTCTAACATAATGTGGTCAAAGAGGGTAAATGGTTATGCTTTTGTATACCCATACTGTAGGCAGGCTCACTGAAACTTGCTTTAGGACCTTTATGTACAGTTACAGTGTTTAGGCATGAGGTGACTTAAGAGTGCCTTTGAATGGCCAGTGTGGACCTCTGTCTACACGAAGGAGCTCTTGAGGGGGGCAAAATCCTGAGAAAGGCTGGCAGAGCTCCTGTCCCCTTCTGCGGCTGTTTGTACAGTGGGACTTTGTCTCACTGTGGGACCCAAATCTACTAAAAATTGGTGTTGATTGAGGCAGTACTGTAGCCCCTGTGACCTGTCATCCCACCAAAATCCAGGTGGGGAGTGGATGTGTTGGGCTGAGGGGCCTGTCTAGCCCTAATAAGGCTGGGGATGTTTATTCTGGGCGGATAAAGGGAAGCTGCACTTTGGCAGCTCTCACGTGAGCTGGCTGTTTGCTCTTCCCTGCAGCTCCAGCTTTGCTCGAGTACCATGGAGAATCTGACCTGTAAAATTTAATGTCCTTCTGCAGTGTGTTTAAATAAAATATGATATGCCCTCGGCCATATATGCCTCAGTCTCAGCAATGAAAGAAGTTTCATAATGCTATCCAGGTAGAGGTCAAGGCAGGACTATTGCAAACATCAGAAATTTAGTTGCTTTGAAATTTAAATAAACGGTGCCAGAGAACAGAGTGGTTCTTTAGTCTGCATTAAGGGAGGGATCATGGATGTCTCTTCTAGATGTAAAATGCAGGGATCATAAAATGCTTGTGAAGTCTAGCTTCTAAGAGTGAAACAGTATTTATTGAAAAAGGGAGTTTACATTAAAAATAATAACCTAATAAACAAGAAATCATTTCAGACTAATCCATATTCCACCCATACTGTGTGCACCAGTGTGGTTTGTTCCCTTATGATTTGTTTAGTTCAGGCATTTGAATGCCTGTGGATGCAGG